CTGAGGGCGCCGGCATAATTATTGGCAGGTGTCCCAGGGTTTTCGTAGCTGCGCTACAGTTATAAGCTAGCTACCTAGCTAGCACTTAGAGCTTAAGACCCCCAGCTCAATCACGGATTGCCAACTTCTGCTTCGCGAAGATGGTTGTCTGCAGCCTCAGATGCTCGGCAATGTAGTACATGCCCGGGGCAGAACATTTATGAACCCTTAACCCTGAAGTTTTGATGAACCTTATAAGACCCCGAAACCCTAGCTTCAAAAGAAATAATTAAAGCAACCAAGGATCCAGAGATAATATCTCCTCAGAGTGGATCTTTCCAATCGTCGCGTGTGCGTTTTGCTTGCAATCCCTGATCAGAGACCAGGAACTGAGAAAAACTATTATATTCATACAATATATGTTTGGATCATTATAGTTTGAGTTTAGGGTTTATAGGGGTTAGGGTTTAGGGTTTTAGGGTTTTAGGGTTTAGGGTTTTATAATATTTAGGAATAGAATCAATCCAAGAAACGGACCAACTTGCCGCTGAAGTCCTCGGCACCGAAGGTGTGGTAGCACCGCCAATTGATTCGATCCAAGCTGGAGAATCGAATGATTTCCATGACTCCCTGATCAAATATAGCCATCGATCAGTATTATTATTATGGGTCTCTTTAAAAGGGCCCCATAATATCTAAAAAATTGTGCTAAACCCCTAAAGCATTCGACCTTAACCCCTAAACAACAAAACCTTTAAAAACTTGATGGATTCTGAGCAGAGTGGTGCCTGCCTGTGCAGTGAAATGAGTCACACTCATGACTCACATGCACAAAGCCCCTAATCCCTAAACCCCAAATCCCGAAACCCCTCTACAGCATTCTGAACCCCAAACCGTACTAACAACTTGGCCCCTAGACCCCTAAATCCTCAAACCCCTAAACCAAATAATCGGATGAAGTTGCATGGAGCTTTGGCTTCACCGGGAAGTAGGGCTTGTTCTCCGAAGCAAAGTAGTCTGCCAGCCATCCATAGGCACTGCTGAACATGTCCTCATCTTGTGACATATCAAATAGCTTGCAATAGATTGTGATCTCACTCATAGACTTTAGCTAGCATCCCAATCTTGAAAACCTGCTGGCCACCCCAAGCTAGGATCGGTGCATCGCCTCATGCGGTCGATCTCGAAATCCATAAGGTATCGGCCCGCCTGCTCCGCGCAGTTCATCAGATCGCCCAGGTAGAACCTTTTGTCCAAATATGTTCTATTTGGCTAGGGTTTTGTGGGGCTTTGGGTGTGTGTGTATGTATATATATATATAGATCTAGACATAGGTTGTGTATATATATATACACATATGATGCATACTTGGGCTGGATTTCTCAGGATTATATTGCATTTGGCCACTAGGGCCACTAGGGTTTGGGGTTCCAAATAATTGATCATGAAGAGACAAGTTGCATTAGCTGCCCCATGTTCTGCAGCACTTTGTCCTCTGCATAGGCTGTTTCGTAGAGAAGGCTGGTGATGCGGTGTGATAGCCAAGCTGTGATCACCCTGGCCTCAGATATAAACCACATCCTAGCTATTCGTACTCTGGTATCCAACACCACTGGATGCAACACAAGTGGCATTGTAGCCCTTCACCCCAATCTCAACTCCACCATCACGGAAGATCTTCGGGCCGAACTTCGGTTGGCTGTGACTGGCCGGGTGTGCATGATGAGAGAGAGAGAGAGAGANNAGAGAAACAGAAAGAGATAGAGAGAAGCATCGACCAAATATTAAGAGGATTCAGACTTTAGTACGCTGAACGAATGACAGGGCACACAATCTTGCGTAGCTCACAGAACTTGCAGAAATCACAGTAGGCTGCAGCCAGCTGCTCCGATAGGGTGTCGACACCCCAGATGCCCTGCCCAACATCAGAACAGTATGACATTAGTTGGGGTTTAGGGTTTAGGTTTTGGGGGTTCTAGGGTTTAGAGGGATGACTGAACTGTTATGCTCATCAGCTGGCCTTCGAAAGAAGATACTGGAGACACCCTGCACAAGCCCACAACATGATGCCCATGTTGATGGTGTGGAGGGAACACCATCTCATCATGTCGGGGTTCCAGCCGAGGATGTCGAGGATGGCACCTGTGCATAATGATGGAAACTCGGCCACTGTGTTATCCTAAGGGTTTAGGGTTTAGGGTCTAGGGGTTTAGGGTGTTAGTTTGGGGCTTCCCGGGTTAGGGGTCGAAGGTGGTTCTTGTTCACAACCCAGGGAGCTAACATGTGTACAATCAAAACCATTCAGAATTGCAGCTGAATCTCTCTTTCTGCCCAGATCATCCGTCTGCACAGCACACACATCTCTGAAGTTGTCCACGTCACGTCGTGGAATGGCTTCCATCGAAGCCATGTCCGGTGAGTCAAAGAAAGTCTTGCGCTGAGCAACACAGTGATGGCAGACACTGTTGGAATTCCAACCGATGCGCTTGAAGCCGAGCCAGTCCTAAGCTGTACTGTTTTGAGTTTTGGCCTACTTCCCTCTAGATCTAGTAGTATCATTTATTATATTAGTATTATGGAGAAATCACAAATACTTGGAAGCATAGGTAAAGTCACTCTGTAAAACTTCCAGTCAGCGCGAAGCTCTGCCACTGCCCCGAAAGCAGCCGTAGTGGTCTCGATGTTGTCAGGGCCACTCATCATCACCACCGAGTGGCCACGGAACAGGATATTCAATGAATCCTTGACCTGATCTGTATAGACGAGGAGATTGGCCATTAATAAACCCTAAACCCTAAACCCTAAACCTCTAAACCCTACAAAACATAAAATACACAAACAGATCCCAAGCTCTCACATACAGGTTGGAAAAGGTTAGGGCACACAGTTTAGATATCCGGGTGAGATCCCAGGCTGCTGGCTCCATGAAGGCCTGCATCGTGTTGAAGCCAGTGCTGAGCGACTGGTCAGGGAACAAGAATTGGTAAGCCAGCAAAAGTCTACGGGGAAGGGTCCATTCGAAAGCTTGTTTGTCTTCGGAATTACGATGCTTCGATGTCAGATCTCCTGGCCTCACGAAACAGAAACAGGGGCCAGTGGGTTTCCATCGAAGATTTCCTGCCGTCCACCACAATGCCCAAGCTCAGCTGTGTCAACTTCTCTTCATTCGTCCACTTGACATCATCAGCATACAAGAACAAAGGCAGGTGCTGACACTGCTTCCCCGGCTCATTGAGCGGGTGTTCAGCACCCCAGCTTGCATGGGTGAACATGTGATCCCAATAAATTGCAATTCCTTCTTGATCGGGCTTGATGTGGCCGTACTTCAAAAGGTGGCCAATCAGCTCATGAGGGAGAACCAGAGGAAGAAGCCTTGAATTCCAGGCTAGTGCAAAAGCACCACTTAATATTCTAGATTGGTATTGTTGCAGCCAGACCTCCCAAACCTGTACAGTTTTGTGGCCTTGGTTTAAGGATCTGGGGGTGAGGGCGCTAGGGTTTTCAGCTCAAGCTTTTCAGCAAATTAGGCATTTAGGGTTTTGGGGTGTGTAGGGCTTCGGCCTTAGAGGGTTGAGGTTAAACAAAACCGAGTGAACTGAGTGTGATGGTTGTAGCTAGGGCAGCTAGGGACTTGGATCATTCACTGGGATTTTAGGGGTTAAGCTTAGCATTTAGGGCTTGCAAGTTCGTAGTGGCCTTTCCACAACCTTGGGATCGGTTGCGCTCGTCTTCATGGGCACTTTCACCGTGGTCATGGGCACCTGAGCACTGTGATCAATGAGTCATCATCATCATCATATGATTGACATGCAACTGTCCCGAATCATGAAACTGGGCATCTGAGTCAGTAACCAGGTCGAGGGCTCCAGAACTGGAAATCGTTCGGATCGTGTCTCTCTCGAGGTTCTGCTTCCATTTGCCCTTAGCACCACCACGCCTGATCTTCTCGGCAACCGGCCCCAAAGTGGCACCATGCATACTCAGTTCCTGACAACAGGAGAGCAGGCAAGCCCTAATTTATGGATTGGGGTTTAGGATGTTATTTTTCGGGCCAGGGCTTGAGTACCTTTAGGGTTTAGGGTCTAAGGTAATTTGCGCTGTACCCAATTCCCGCAACCTCGTGTGATTCCTGCAAGAGCTCTCTGGCTGCAGCAAAGCTGAGGTCCTGGGCCAGACATGCTGAAACACCTACAACAATGAATGGGCTGCTTGACTTAAGTACCGGACCCCTTTGCCGGTGCATCGAAGGACATGGCGCCCAAGTGGCCCCAGCTCTTGCATCCACCCTGCGTGCGTGTCATGAAACAGGGCTGGCAGGAGGCATATACTTGTTCTGATAGGCATGTGTGAACTCAGCAAGGTGAGCACCATCTGGTTTTTTTCATGTGCACATACCAGGATCAGCCCGGCTTTCACCAGCACATTCGAGAGTCTGTTTCTTGAAATGTAAGAAAGGCCTCCTACACAGGCCCGGCAGTGACTCCAGGTTCAGCCCAGAGCCACATCCTTGCAAAACTTGTGTGCACTTCTCAGACTGGCCCGGAAAAGAGCGCGGCCATCTAGCTGCAAGCCTGCGTCTAGCTCTAGCAGAACAGCAACTCAAGATCCCGTAAGTGATGTTGCCAGGCCCCTGTGAACATATCATGTCCATGCTGTACATGCATACATCACCTGTGCATGCACATATTATATGCATAGCAATCATCTTGCTGGCAACACCTCGATCAAACGGCTCACCAGTCCATGGCACACCCCAGGCTCAGCCAGGACCTCACTTGCGCTTCGCCCCGTTCTTCGCCTTGGCTTTGCCCTTAGCTTTCGCCTTTGGTGTTGCCTCGGCTGCTGAATGTAACCATGGTGGCTTAAAGCTTGCATTAATCACTAGTGGTACTATAGTGGGTCTCGGTTCGATCAGGATGTTATAGGTCTCGGGGTTGCAACTTGGTGCGGATGCATTTTAAAGTTCTTTGCCATCGGTACCTGGTTTGTGTACTATATGCTCTAAGGCTTCAGGATAGCTTCTATAGGCTACAGTTGTAATATGCATGAGGATGCATCCAGCTGCAAATGTGCACTTGCGGACCGGTTGCGAGCTTTTTCATGGCCGTAGCAGACTGGGTGTAGTTTGTGATGGTTTGGTTCAGCTCGTCCAAGCAATCCTGTAGCTTCTCGGTGGAGCTTTTGGCCACCAAAGCATCCACCTTCTCCTTGGCCTCTGCAAGGCTCTTGGCATGGATGTCAAGCTCAGCAGAGAACCCATTCTTCACAGGCTGTGACCTTGGATTGCACTTGTTACAGGATTGAGGGGTTGGGGCTTAAGGTTCAGGGGCATGAACATGTTATAGGATCGAGGGTTTAGGGTTTGGGTTTGGGGTTCAAAGGCAGGTGTTACACGATTGAGGGTTTAGGGTTTAGGGTTCAGGGGACAGCATGTGTCATGTGTTCCAGGATAGGGGTTTAGGGTTCTGGGTTCAGGGCTTGGCGATAGCACATGTTATAGGATTCAGGGTTTAGGGCTCAGGGTTTATAAGGTTTGGGGAAAGCACATATATAGGATGGAGGTTTAGGGTTTGGGGTTCAGGATGTAGGGTTTTGGGGCAGCCTGAGTTTTGCAGTATTCACCCCATAGGTATAATCATACATGATACAGCAATATGAGAATATTACCCCATATACTAGATGGGTTCAGGACTCTGGAGATGGCATATAAGGGCCTTACATGTAGGGCAGCTTTGTGCATAAGGGGCGCAAGTTGTCATTACCACTGATCTCATCTTTCAGCAGCTTCGCCTCCTCGATTTTTTCATTGGCCTGGGCAGCCTTGTTCTTCGACTGATTCATCAGGGTATTCTTCTTCTTCTTGTCCATAGGCTCCACCACAGACTCAGGTGGGAGGTTTGCACCTGTAGTCACATCTGCAGTCACAATCGGCAAGGCCATGGAGTGGCCATGCGAAGACGAGGTGGAGCCCACGGTGTTCGAGAGGCCGGACACCAAATTGGGCCTAAGTGTAGGATCGGAGTCTAGCAGATACTAAGACTAAGATTGGAGCCCTTATAAGTACATGTTAAAGGATAAAGATGCAGGTTTCTTGGGATTAAGGGATAGGAGTTCAGAAAACATTATATTGCATACAAGCAAAGTCACATCAGAGCTCGGGTGGCCTCACCACTGAGATTCACATCATCCGTCTTCAGGGTGGACGTTGTGCTTGAGCGATCGGTTGCTGTCACTGTAGCTTTGCTGAACACTTTGATCAAGGTCCACTCCTGTCATGGCAACAACATTAGCTAGCATTATGGTACTTCGGTTAATTTGCTGATAAAATGTTTATACTTTGCAAACTGGGGTGCACCAGCCTCACAGCCCGGTAGATCTGGGTGCTTGAGTATGTACGGAACCTCGTCCGACCCTTCAGGAAGCTCTGCCTGGAGCTTTTTCTTGGATTCATAGATCTCCTCAGCAGCAGCATCTCCCACCTGCTGCCTCAAATCACACAATCTTGTGAAGACCTCCTCCCCCAGGAGCTCTTTCGCAGCCTGGGTCTTCACCTCTTTGCAAACCGTGGAGGTAAGCCAATCTCCTCCACAGTTCAAGTGTTCATTGAAGAGGTCATCCAGGGCTTTCGTACCTGGGTATTTCCCAGTCACATAATATAATTAGCAAAAGGTCTAGATTACAACACAAACCGAAAGCAAATATGCATGACACCATGGCACCACGATGAGCACCCTTGGCAGCTTTCAGGACCTCTGCTGGGCAGTTCTGGCCTTGGATGATTGGCGCGCTTGCAGCTTCATGGACTTATATAGCTAGGTTGGGTTTACAGGTCAAGTTAGTGCTTGCACCCAAAGAGTATCCGTGTGGGCTTTAGGTTTAGAGTTCGGGTTTGGGCAGTGTGGCCTTTAACCTTGGGCTTTTATCCGGGCTGGACTACAGATTGGGACGAAGCAATACCCAAGTGCATAGGGGAAGGGTTAGGGTTTCGGGATATTCAGAATACAACTTTGAGGTTCAGGTTTTTGGCATAGCCAATTTGAGTCTCAGGCTTCATGCAAGCCTCGGCCAGTTTAGATCTTGTCAGGCAATTGAGATCTTATCTTGCCTGTGGAATTAGGGGGGGGGGGGGGGGGGNNCGGGGGGGGGGGGGTATCGGCCGAGGAACTGAAACTCCAATTAGAATAAGACTCATGACATTACATTATTGTATATGCACACACTTGGGTCTGTAGTACATGAAGAAGCATGAGGGTGTCTATATGACAACTCTTATGTATATGGGCATGGGATTTACTGCTTGAATCTGGAACGAAGAGGGTCAGCATTTCCATTTTGGTTTGTGTACACTTACCAGGTTTAGATACACACACAGC